TTCTGATGAAGGGTCTAGGCCCGAAACATCAGTCTTCCTGCTCCTATGATGCTGCTTGGCCTGCTGTGTTCATCCAGCTCTACACCTTGTTATGTTGGTTCAGTTGGCAGCTAGGAAGGCAAATGCAATGTTAGCTTTGACATCAAGAGTACTAGAATATCAGGGATGTACTGCTGAGGCTGTATAAGGCTCTGGTCAGACCACATTTGGAATATGGTGAGCAGTTTTGGCCCTGTATCTAAGGAAGGATGTGGTAGCCTTGGAGGAGGTACAGATGGAGTTTACAAGAATGATCCCAGGATGAAGGGCTTGTCATATGAGGAGCAGTTGAAGAAAGTTTAGAAGGATGACAGGGAATTTGATTGAAACTTACCGAATACTGTCAGGCTTGGTTAGGGTGGACATGGAGAAGATGTTTCCACGAGTAGGAGGGACTAGAACCCAAGGGCACAGCCTCAAAGCGAAGAGATTACCGTTTAGAACTGAGATGAGGAGGAATTTCTTCAGTTGGAGGATGGTGAATCTGTGGAACTCACTGCCACAAAAGACAGTGGAGGCTTAGTTATTGAGTGTCCTTACGACAAAGATAGATAGGTTCTTGATTAGTAAGGGGATCAAGGGTTATAGGGAGAAGGCAGGAGAATGAGGTTAAGAAATGTATCAGCCATTAACAAATGGCACAGCAGACTCAATGGGATGAATGGCCTAATTCTGCTCCAATATCTTATGGTCTTATACTAACACTCAAGGAGTTTGATATCATCCAGGTCATAGCAATCTATTCAACAAGCACCAATTCCACTAACTTAAACATTTCCTCCGTGCATTATTGACGCATAGTGGCAGCAAGGCCTATCATCCATAGCATGCACTGCAACAATTCACCAAGGATCCTTCAATAGCACCTTCCAAACATAGCATGTACTACCTAGAAGAAGCATGGCAGCAGATCCATGGAAACACTATCACTTGGAAGATCTCATCCAAACCACACACCATACTGAAATAAAACAAAGAACTGCAGATGCTGGCGATCTGAAACAAAAAAGAAAGCAAATTGCTGGAGAAACTCAGCAGTTCTGACAGCATTTGTGAAGAGAAAACATAGAATTAACGTTTTCAAGTCCAGTCATCCTGGACTCTGTTTTTCTCTCTTCACAGATACTGTCAGATCTGCTGAGTTTATCCAGCAAGTTGTGTTTTGATTTGCTTCATACACCATATCACCATTTCCTTTAATGTTGCCGGGTCAAAATCCTGGATTCCCTCCCTTAACAGAAATGTATGTGTACGAACACAGGAGAAATCAAAAGAAATATTAACAGGGCTAGGCTGTTCAGCCCATGAGCCTGCTTGAATTACCATGGCTAATCCACCTAGCCTGCACATTCATGGCCACTGAGGACGAGACTGGAGCACCCAACAGAAACCCACAAGCAGAACGTGCAAACTCCAGTTGGCCAAGGCCAGAATTGAACACATCCCTGGTGCTGTAAAGCAGCAGTGCTAACCATTGAGCCACCACACAACCCTAAATCAGACATTCTTTGTGTCTGCTTTCCTGCTCATTTCCCCATAACCCTTGATTCCCCGACTGATCAAGAATCTATCTATCTCAGCCTTAAATATACACAGAGTTTCACCAGATCGTAGGAAGTTGAGGTTTTTAAAATCATGAGGAGTATAGATAAGGGAAACGGCAGGTGCCTTCTCCCTCTTGTGGGGGATTTCAAAACTAGGGGGCATATTTTTTAAGGTGAGAGGAGAAATATTTAAAAAGGAAATTGGGGCAACTTTTTTGTTTAGAGAGTGGCCCGTCTGTGGAATGAACTTTCCAGAGGAACTGGTAGATGCTAGTACAGTTACAACGTTTAAAAGACATTTGATAAATACATGAATGAGAAACATATGGAGGGATGGGGGCCAAAAGCAGGCAGGTAGGATTAGAAATAGTAGGAACTGCAGATGCTGGAGAATCTGAGATAACACGGTGTAGAACTGCATGAACACAGCAGGCCAAGCAGCATCATAGGAGCAGGAAGGCTGACGTTGGACTGGTTAGCCCCAAGGGGCTGTTTCTGTGCTGTATGACTTTGCCCCCAATGTTCTCTGTGGCAAGGAGTTCCAAAGGCTCTCAACCTTCTGAGAACAAGTTCCTCCTCAGAATGAGATAAGGTGTGGAGCTAGAGAAACACAACAGGCCAGGTAGCATCAGAGGAGCAGGAAAGCCTCCTCGGGGTGACCGCAGCCATTTAAGGAGATTGATCGTCAAAGGGACAACTGTGGATGGGAATTTTTTAAAACAAGACGATAAATGAAGACACGAACGCAAGCGTTTAGGGTGAAGCTGGAAACCCCACTTTACTGACCCTCCCCCTAGCCACGCTCACGCGGGTGAGAAGCCTTTAACTCCGTGACATCACGTGGCACGCCCCCTCGCACCGCACTCTAATTCATGCAGCCCGCTGATTGGTGCTTCCGCCTGCCTGCCTGCCAATGGGAGCGTTTGTTGCTGTCGTTCCCTCGGAACAGCGCGGGAAATTGCTTCATCATATATAATTTTTTTCTAAATTTACTGAGAGTAGCCAAGTACGGGTTGGCGGCCGGTGTTTGTTTCGTTAAATAATTATGTACCAAGCGGTTTGAAGTCTTCTCTCTCTGTGTGTTTCCCCGGGCCTCATTGGCAGCAGCGGCCGCCTCGTCCACCTCTTCCCCGCGAGCCGGCCGGTACTAACGGTCCTAACGGCTCCGGGTTCGAATCCGCTTCCCAACTGCCGCCAACCTCCCAGTTCCCGGATGAGCTCCTTCAACCTCGACCGTTTCCGTTACGAAAAGAAACGCGGCGCTAACGGCGACCGGGACCTGGACCGACAGCGTGACACCCCGCGGGATTCCGGCCTCCGGGAGGTGGATGGCCCGGCAGGTGAGAGCGAGCGCACCTCCCGTCGGTATCCGCGCCCCTACCTTCCTTCTCTCCCCCCACCCAACCCCATTCGTATCGGCTCCCCACATCCCTATCCTGGCGTATCTGCATGCACGTCTACCCATCGTATTCACTTGCCCTCTGCACCCCCAACCCCGTATCTATGAACTATATCGTACAGTATCTGTGCCCTGTACCCCCACGTACCATATCTGCATACTGTCTTGCCATATCCACATCACCATCCTGCCATTTCTGTGCCCTGTCCCACCAGAGCTGGATGCCGTATTCTGCTGTACCCATTCTCCCCTACCCCTTTCCAGGCGTCGCTGGCAAGGCAGTGTTTATTGTCCATCCCTAATTCCCCACAGGATAGTTAGGAATCAACCACATTGCTGTGGGTCTGGAATAATATGTAGGCCAGACCAGGTAAGGATGGCATTTTCCATCCCTAAAGGACATTAGTGAACCAGGTGGGTTTTTCTGACAATCGACAATGGACTCGCGGTCATCATTAGATTCTTAATTTCAGATATTTTATTGAATTCAGATTCTGCCATGTGCCATGGCAGGATTCAAACCTGGGCCCCCAGAATGTTAGATAACAAGGTGTAGAGCTGGATGAATACAGCAGGCCGAGCAGGAAAGCTGACGTTTCGGGCCTAGACCCTTCTTCAGAAATGGCCCGGCACCTCCCGTCAGTATCCGTGCCCATATCTTCCTTCTCTTCCCCCAACCCCCCAACCCCATTCGTATTGGCTCCCTACATCCCTATCGATCCTGCTCCTCTGCTGCTTGGCTTGCTGTGTTCATCCAACTCTACACCTTGTTATCTCAGATTCTGCAGCATCTGCAGTTCCTACTATCTCTGAAACAATTTTAACCCCCCAGAATGTTATCTGGGTCTCTAGATTAACAGTCCCATGATATACCAGTAGGCCATTGCCTACCCTTTTATATTTCCTACTATATGGGACGTCCACCCCCACCCCATTCTGCTGTACCCAAGTGCCCTCCTGTCCCCACTGCACCCATTACCCAACCCCACCCCCCTGGTTTCTTTGTACTCATCTCCCTGTCCCGTCCTGTGCTGCTCCAGTCCTACACCATCTCCCTGAACACCATTGTTTCTGAACCTCATTCTCCTGCCTTCTCCCCATAACTCTTGATCTCTTCACTAATCAAGAACCTATTTGTCTTAAATACACTCGATGCCTTGGATTCTACCACACAAGGCTGCAGAATTCCACGGATTCACCATCCTCTGGCCGAAGAATTTCCTCCTCCTAAAGTGTAAGACGGGAGGTTTAGAGGGATTTGAGGAAAAGCTTTGTCGCACAGAGGGTGATGGGGCCCAGAGTGCACTGCCTAGAAGGATGGTTGAAGTGGGAGATCTCACAACCTTCAAAACATTCTTTCATGAGCACTTGAAGTATCATAGCATTCAAGGCTCTGCGTCCAGTGTGGGAAAGTGAAACTAATGTAGGTAGTAGTGTATTTTTGGCAGTATAGACTCAGTGAGCCAAAGGACCTCTCTTGTTCTGTATGATTCTGTGACTGTATCTGCACTACACTCCAACACATCAAGATTCCACCATACGTGAATCCTGTCATGCCTCCACCCTATCCTTTGAATTGGCACCACAGTGTAGTGCCCCACCCAGGTCTATGTTGCATCCAGGACTCTTCCTTTCTTGTCCTGCCAGGTTGCTGCCACAACCAACCACCCACTCACCCCCCTCCCAACCTTCATCCTACCAAATTACAAAGCTACAAATTGGGACTACTTTGCATGTATCTTGATGAATGCAGTTCCAGCAACTCTGAAGAAATCATCCAGGACGTAGCAATTCGCTTGATCAGCGCCCCATCCACTATCTTCAATATTCATTTCCGCTATCGATGCAATGCAGAAATTCAGCAAGCTTCCTTTGACAGCACCTTCTAAAACCACAACCATGTAAAAATCTCAAGGGCAGTCGGTGCAAGGGAACATCAGAATGACCACCTGCAAGTTTCCCTTGAAGCCACACACTATCCTGTTTGGAATTATATCGCTGCACTTTCAAAGCAGTGGAATCAAAATCCAAAACCTATCTTCTGGCATGTGTGCCAAATGGACTTCAGTGGTTTAGCAACATGACCCAGTAAACTTTCACAAATGAAATTAGGAATGGGCAATAAATGCTGGTCTCGCCAGCAACATCCACGTCCCATGGAATAATATAAGAAAACCGTCCCACCTCTGTCATATTTGCATTGCCCCACCTCATCACACCATAATTTCTGCTCATCCCGTCATAGTATGTACACACCCTCTTCATTTTTGTAACATTTCACACCACTGTCGAGTCACTACAGCCTCGGTTGGCACACTTGGTTACAAAAATGACTGTTTTACACCTGCTGACAAACTGGTTTTCATTATCCAGATTTTATGCAATTAGTTTTTATGTATGGGTGATAACCTCCCTTGCTAATTTAAATTCCCTATTTTCATAAAGTAATCTCACACAGGCAGTTCAGTGGTCTATCTTTTTCTAACCACAATTTAATTTAGCCCCCATCTTCTCACTTTTCTCCATACCCTTCTTTTTAATCTTTCAAATATTTGTCCACTTTTGTTTAAATCTGTTGAATCTGTATTTGGAGCAATGCAAATCCTAACTATTCTTGGAGCTGAATACAAGAAGTTCAGTTCTTGCTGTGGTCAGTTGCAGAGGTAATGGCAGATTGTTCTCTTCCATGACTGACCACCAAAAGAAGACACAAAAGGCCAGACATACTACTCACCCTACCATGCATCAGATACATACCAGAGATGACCACAAGACTACACAAACCCCCTAGGTATCAGAGTAACCAACAACCACCCTGCGACAGCTACTGATGAACGTAAAGGATCCCATACCCACAATCAATAAAACTAATGTAACATACAAAATACTTTGTGAAAAATATTACACAGGCGAAACTGGAAGAAAATGGACGATAAGGATACACGAACACCAACAAGCCACCAAGAGACATGACCAATTCTCACTGGTCTCGATACACGATAAAGAAGGGCATGAATTCGACTGGGACAACACATCCATAATAGCATGCGCCAAACAGAGACACGCCAAGGAATTCCTTGAGGCCTGGCATTCTAACTGCAGTTCCCATCAACAAACACATTGAACTGGATCTGATATACAGCTCACTGAAAAATGGAACTAGAAGTAATGCCCCGGCAAACTGAGGCATACAAATAACAAGCGGGACAGAACATCAGTGCTTCAGTGGAGGTGCACTGACGATGTTATCTAGCAGGGTGATGAAACGTCTGCAACCAAACACACCGGCTTGGCGAGCAAGTCTACAGTCTACAGCCTACATACAATTGTCTTTGATATATTAATGACAACATAAATATTGAAATGTTGCAATGCCAACAATAACCTCAAGGTGGTCGTCTTCTCAATTGTGGAATATTCCTGTTAATAAATATTCACTTTCTGGGAAGATATCCAGTAAGTCTCTATCTTCTCTTCGTCTTGCAAGAGTACAGCAGCAACGCCCACATCACTCGCGTTGGTAACCATCTTGAATGGCTTTGCATAATCAGATGTGGCGAACACTGGGCGGTGGTTAACAGCTTTCAGGCTGTCAATGTCTTCTGACATTACTCCATCCACTGAAACTTTCAGCACTTATTCAACAAGTTAGTGGAGCAAGCATGCTGCTAGAATCTGGTACAAATTTTTGATTAAAAACCACATGGTCCCAGGAATTGTAGTACTTCCCTTTTCGTTGATGGTATGGGAAACTACCCAATAACTTTTGTTTTCACATATCGTGGGGCCATTTGTCCGTGTCCAATGATATGGCCTGGGAATGTGTCTTGGGCTTATGCAAACTCACTCTTAACCAAGTTTATCACGAAGCCCGCCTTCTGAAGTCAATCGAACAATTCTGATAGATACTCCACATGTTGCTTCCATATGTGACACAAAATCACCAGATTGTCTATGTAAACCACACAATTGGATAATGCCGAAATGACTTTATTGGTTAGTCTTTGAAATGTGGCTGGTGCATTTTTCGTACCAAATAGGATAACTTCAAGCTGGTTAAGTCCATTTGGTGTCACAAATGCTGAAATTTCCTTTACTCTCTGAGAATCCTTTGAATAAATCTAGTTTCAAAATATAAGTTACTTATCCCACCTTCTCAATACAGTCTTTCAGCTGTGGAATAGGATGCGAATCCGATTTCGGAACTGCATTGACTTGACGGGAATCAGTACTGAGCATTAGGTACTGGTATTGGCACCGTTACAATGGGTGTGCTCCATTTGCTGCAACTTACTTTGATTATATTGTCTTTGAGCATGCTTTCAATCTCTTGAACTTGACCCAATTTGAGGGTTATGTCTATAAGGATGATGCTTAATTGGAATCACATTTCTTTTATCTACATCATGAGTAATCATGTTAGTACTTCCCAGCTTATTCCCATATACCTCTCCATGTGATTGTAATAACTCAGGTCATTTTGATTTTCTTCTGGAAGGTAATTCAATTACTTATCCCAATTTTTGCGAACTTGCTCATTATCCAATTTAGTTTGAGGAATAACAAATTCAGAATTGACTGGATTTGGTTCTTCACTCTGAGTTGTAACAAGTACCACATTATCCTATTGCATTCCTTCCCTATCAAAATACCGTTTATGCATATTCACATGACAGTTTTTCTTCTCCCTGGCACTCTTGACAAATAATTCACCTCACTCAATTCCCTTTCGATTTGATAAAGCCCACTAAACCTTCCCTCTAAAGGTTCACCTACCACTGGAACTAATACTAATACTTTATCTCCTCTAGCAAAATAACAAATTTTGATTTCTTGTCTGCTTTCTGTTTCATCACATGCTGTGCTACCCACTCTATTTAATCTTTCCCCAAAATTTGACACGCAGTCTAAATTTGTGATCTCTTAACTCTGACTTATCAA